TGACCCCATGGACCAGAGCACGCCAGGCACTCCTGTCTTCCACTGCCTCCCGCAGTTTGGTCAAACTCATGCTGGTAGCTTCGAGAACACTATCTGTGATGAGTATGAGTTACTCGTGCGTAAACTGGTGCCTCTCTAGGCTAATTTGCCTTGTTAAACCTTTCTGACTGCACAGCCCTTTCTAATTGTGACTGGCTCAGTCACTGGCAGAATCCGTCAGTGGGCGTTTCTTGAACCTCTTCCAACATAAAAGTTGTTTGACACCCAGTCTCCTCCTCCTCTCACTGCGCGGGAGTCTTCTGCGCAGGGAGGGCGTGGGTAGCGGAGGACCTGTCCCCTCCTCACTGAGTTCCAGTGAAGAGTCCTGGAGCCCTCTCTCCGATTCCCCCATCTGCCCACCTTTATCCCTGGTGTTGCGCTTAAATGCTTCCCCCTCCACTGAGCTGTTTCTCCCCCTGCTGCTGGGTCCTTCTCCAGCATCATCTAGGAGCCTCCCCTTCGCCTCTCGCTCCGATGTCAGTTCCCTGACATCCACCTCCCCCCCAGAATCCCCTCCACCCCTGGACCGACCTGTGGGATCAACTTCGTCCCCTTCAGCGGCCGACGACGCTGGAAACCCCCAGAAGGAACTGTCACCATCTTCTGTGGATTCGAAACCCGCTTCCCACCCGCTCTTACACCTGCCAACGGGGTGGTCCTCCCAGTCTGATTCTTCTTCCTCCGAAACCTCTCCTCCCTCCTCCTCGGAGTCAGAAAATCCCTCAAAAACCTCTTCATCATCTGTGGTTCCAAATTGCTCCTCCCAGAATCTCTCCAGGGGTTTGGGTTTGTCCGGGAACCGGCGGTGGAATACCTCCACCAGATACCTGTCCTCGAAGGCTTCCGTGGGAACCCACGTGTTTTCGGACCTGGGTTCCCCCTCCCACGCTACCAAATACTCCACCCGGCGCCCTTGCCACCTTGAGTCCAGTATTTCCGTGGCCCTGTGATGGTGTTCCCTTTCTTCTACCTGCGGGTGTGTGGTGACTTCTCCCTCTTGCCCCTGGAATTCCCGCCCTTCCCTATGCGGTGAGAGCAGGGACCTGTGGAAAACCGGGTGTATTTTCATGCTATCAGGCAACTTGAGCTTAAATGCCACGGGATTAACTTGCTGTGTTACCTCAACAGGTCCCAGCCGTCTGGGCTGCAACTTCTTGCACCCCCCTTTGAAAGGTAGCCCTTGGGTGGACAACCACACCCGGTCCCCCACCCGTATGGTCTCCCCTTCCCTGCGGTGCTTGTCTGCCTGCCTCTTGTAAGTTTCCTTGGCCCGCTCCAAGTTCATCTTAAGTTGCTGGTGCAGGGCCTCCATTTCTTCCACAAACTGCTCTGCAGCGGGTACGCTCCAGCTTTCCTCCCCACTCCCGGGAAGGCCCTGGGATGACACCCATGGTTGGCCATGAATGGGCTCATTCCCGTGGACACGTGTTCCGCGTTGTTGTACGCGAATTCAGCCAGCGCTAGTTTTTCTACCCAATCGTTCTGCCTCTCGCTGACGTAGCAGCGTAGGTATTGCTGGAGTATACTGTTCGCTCTTTCTGCTTGCCCGTTGGTCTCTGGGTGTCTCGCCGTCGAGAAACCCACCTCCACCTGCAGCAAGCTCATGAGCTTCCTCCAGAACCGGGAAGTAAATTGTTTTCCGCGGTCGGAGATAACCCTCAAGGGGCGCCATGCAGCCGGAATATGTGCTCCACAAACAACCGGGCTGTTTCCTCTGCCGTTACAGCATGTGAGCAAGCTATAAAATGGCACATTTTTGTCAGTAGGTCGACCACTACCATGACCGCTGTCTTTCCCTGGGACTTGGGCAAATCTGTCATAAAATCAATGGATACCACCTCCCAGGGTTTTCCCGGTATGGGTAAGGGTTCCAGTAATCCTGCGGGGGCAGCCCGCTCCCCTTTTGCCCTTTGGCAGCGGTCACACCCCCGTACATATTCCCGTACATCCTCCCTCACCCTGGGCCACCAGAACTGCCTGGTCACGAGCATCATGGTTTTGTGCTGTCCAAAGTGCCCTGCTGTGGGGTTGTCGTGGAGTTGTTTGAGTACCTTTCCCCTCAGGGTCTCCCCCGGTACGTACAGCGCTCCCCTATAGTACAGTACCCCTTCCTTCTCCTCAAACCCTTCTTGGGTCCCTCTTCCGTCTCGTAGTTCCCGGATTTTAGTTTGCGCGAACACGTCGTTTCTGGTCAGCCCGGCTAGTTCTCGTTTCCCCACCAAAGTTCCCCCCACACACCCATCGGTCCTCGGGAATCACGTGTCGTTTCTCCGGCGGCCCCTCTCCTTCCAGGTACTCCGGTTTACGCGCGAGAGCGTCTGCTCTTACGTTTTCCTCTCCGGGCACGTATCAGATTTCAAAGAAAAACTTGGAGAACTCCTGTGCCCATCGAATCTGTCTCTGGTTGAGTACTCGTGCGGTTCTCCAGTACTCCAAGTTCTTGTGATCTGTGCAAACCTGGATCTGTTGTTGCGCCCCTATCAGTAGATGACGCCAACGACGAAAGGCCGCGTAGATCGCCAGCAGTTCGCGGTCATACACTGTATAGTTTTGCTCCGACTTGCTCAGTTTTCTCGAGAAAAAGGCACACGGTTTCCATTCCTGCTTGCCCCTCCCTGGCTGCAAAGGACCGCCCCTACGGCTCTGTCGGACGCGTCGGTCTCTAGCCTCAGGGGTTTCTCCAGATCTACGTGCAGGAGTTGCTCTTCCGATGCGAACGCCTTCTTCAGTTTTTCGAAGGATTGCTGGGCCTCTTCTGTCCACACAAACTTCTTTTTGCTACTGAGACAATCCGTGATGGGCGCTGTCAAGTGGGCGAAGTTCTTGATGAACTTCCTGTAGAAGTTGCTGAACCCTAGGAACCTCTGTACGTCCTTCCGTGTTTTGGGAGCCTTCCACTCCAGCACTGCCTGCACCTTGCTTGGGTCCATCGCTAAGCCTTTGTCAGACAACTTGTACCCCAGAAACTCGACTTCTCTGGCGTGAAACTGACATTTTTCCAGCTTGACCCACAACTGGTGCTTCTGCAGTCGTTGTAACACTTCCCTGACGTCTCTAACATGTTGCTCCTCGTTGTCCGAATAAATTAAGACGTCGTCCAAGAAGGCTACGCAGTTCTTGTACAGCAGAGACCCCAACACGTGGTGCATGAAAGCTTGAAAACAGGCGGAGCCCGACTGTAATCCAAAGGCATAACTAAGTACTCAAAGGCACCTAGGGGTGTGAACATTGTGGTCTTCCATTCGTCCCCCTCCCTCATCCTGATCAAATTGTATGCGCCCCTGAGGTCCAGCTTGGTAAAAATTTTGCCTTTCCTCACTCGCGTTAAAATGTCGTCAATCCTGGGCATTGGGAAGGTCACGGGTTCTGACACCAAATTGACAGCCCTATAGTCCACTACGAGCCTGGGTTTATTTGTGTCCTTTTTGTCCACAAAGAACACCGGACTGCCCCCCACCGCCTTTGATTCTCTTATGAAGCCTCTTTTCAGGTTCTTGTCAATAAATTCTCGCAACTCCTTCATCTCCCTGTCAGACATGGCATACAGCTTACCCACTGGCAGCTGAGCCCCCGGAAGCAAGTTGATCTGGCAGTCAAAGGGCCTATGGGGTGGCAGTCTATCTGCCTCCTTCTCGCTGAAGACCTCCCGCAGATCTGCGTATTGCGGCGGCACCTCCCCTTTCCGCTCCAC